AAGTTTACACCTGAAGAAAAGGATGAGTTTGGTATTTTACTTTGCTCTGCAAAGAACCTGCTCGGCACAGGAAAGAAAAACATAACTGTTAAACAACTTGGTAAGAAAGCATTTCACTGTTTTACATGGCAGGTTGTTTCTGATCAAACAGAGAGACGCGTAGAACTGCAGAGGTTTAAGTAAATATTCAAGTTAACGACTGAATTAAACAACAACTGAAAATAGGGAAACTTTTTATGTCTTGGGCTTTTTTCCTTCCATCAGTTTTAATACAATTCGTCTTTACAGTGAAATTCCCTGATTCTCTGAGGAAACCAAAACGTTGGTACTGATTGACTTTTGATTAAAAAAATAAAAAATAAAAACAAGACTCAAATCCAACGTCAATTAAAAACAAGTTTGCTTGGACAACGCGGAAGAGACGTTTTGGAAATTTCACAATGTTTGAGATAGAAAATTGAGCTACATTTTCAATTCTAAAAATGATATCACATGCGTTTAGAGATAAACTTAATTAAAAGTAATTAATCTAACTAAAAGGAAGATTAAGGTGCCTTGATCTTCTTAGAAATTCGTTACTATAGACAAGTAGTAAATGGTCCCCAGTATAGTCTGTTTTCTTTTTCTAATTGAGAAAGACACCAAACAATACCACACTGGATGGTTTATCTTTCCATGTCTTAATAGTTGTTCCTGCACCGCCAAGAATCTTGCGAATAGACTCGGGAGTGGATAACATGGAAATACACTGGGAGGTTTCCGCTGGTGACCCTGATAGTCCTGTTTTGAATTACCTTGTACAAGTGAAAGAAAAAGATGGATCGTATCAGTGGATGAACTGTGCACGTATCACTCCTCAAAAAAGCAGTGGTTCCATGTTGTGTGTGATGAACGAGTTAAAAAGCGGCACGGAATACACCGTGCGAATTGCTGCCAGGAATGTAGTGGGGTACAGTGCCTTCACTGAAAATCATAGCTCAACTAAACGAGAGACAGGTAACCATCGATCTATTCACTTGACTCTGAAGGCGACCTCCGCTCAGATTATCGAAAACGTCAGCCTCCACTGAGCAGCAGCTCTTTTCAGAACTATACTCACCCGTACGATCACACTATACCGACTAATCGATCCCTGACTAGATGATCATTGTTGTTTTGGATGATGCAGATTGTCAAGGAATATTTAGACCCTTTCTTGTTAGTCTTTCAAAAGTTTACATCAGACCTGTTCTTTCTATGTTTTGAATATCGGTGAGAATTGAGGTTTTACTTTCTTCATGCCTGTGAAACGTTCAGAAGTATCGCTCTGGCTAAGGAAAGCTTGACCCCATTCAATCCAAATCTAAGTGTCTCCCGGTCGTTGGACAAATTAGTAATCGCGGACAGATATCGCGAAAATGAGACTTTATTTTCAACTGACTATATGTTTTTTTTACAGGAAAGAAGGAAGAACAGAAAGGTTTACCAAAAAGCACAATTTATGGAATAATTGCAGGAGGGATTTGTTTTCTGGCATTGGTAATTGCCATCGCTGCTATAGTTTGTGTTAAGAAAAGGCGATCGCGTTCTCGAGGTATGTTTACGAGTGGTATATCATAAGTAAAATAGTTTAATTATATCTTTAAGAATATCTCATCGTATAACAAACCCATAAAAAATGCATATGAAGGCAGTCAAAAAAAAAGACACGAGGCATTGTTATTTTCTCTTATGAGTACTAGCAGGATATGTAACAGGGCATTTCCGGGTTGAACTTTACCTGTAACCTGATTAGAATTTTCGGCCGGTTACGAGATAGTTAATAGAACCCAGTAAAGTTGTTACTTTGAAACAACCTGGCGAGGAACGATTAGGAGTACACGAGAACATACGCATAAAATATGTCCCAGACTGAAGCCGTTGTGACAAAACCATCAGAACTATCATGACGGATAGTTTTCAGATTTTTTCCAACAGAAAAGAACATCTGAGCGAGATTTTGCACTTTTACAATTTAAAATGGTGCAAGCAAAGCAATATGTTTTTTTCTATTGTTTCAGGTGTTAACAAGGAGGTCATGAGTAAAAGGTGTGTGAAGATTCTCTTTCTTCTAAGCTAGTAACAATACAATTGTTTTACTCTGAATAAAACCAACGTGACTTGCAATGTGTGACTTTGCGGAACTTGCTTGTGCAAAATTCAATCCACGGTATCTTCATCAGAAGAAGTTAACTGAAGAACTGTGTCTAAATTTTCCAGCAGTAGAAAGACAGTTCTCTGTAAGTATTATGGATCGGGAAAGAGGTGTCTTTCTTCTGATCAGCTTTGAAAGATAATCATTTGCACTCTTTTCAAAAGTTTACATCTCCTTAAGAAGAGCGTCAGATATAGAATGACAGGCAAAATTATGTAAATAGTACTCTTTTAAGTAATTATGTAGCTAATAAGTAATTATGTAGTTTTTTTGTATGTTATTCTGTATGTGAACAAATAAATGGATAAATGAAAAAAAAAAAAAAAAGTTCCGTTANCTCCTTAAGAAGAGCGTCAGATATAGAATGACAGGCAAAATTATGTAAATAGTACTCTTGCATTCGTATTACAGACTTCACGTTCAACTTCTTTTCCTCTAGCTCCAAGAAAGTGACTATTACCAACTATGATAACCCAGCAATGGAGTCGAAGACAGAGGACCCCAAGGTAAGTGTCAATTGCTAGGTACAAGTTGGTGCATTTTTTAAATCGTATCAGTAATAAAATTCTCGAGTGTGTTTTGCTTTCCGCGCACCTATTTATTACGTGATAGCCACCACGTAGATGTCCAACTTTTGTGATTGGACACCAGAAATAGGCCATATTCGCCCTATTGGGACGCATAAATGACTTCCTTTTATTGTTTAGCTTTATTTCTCCACTGCTTGTAAAACTTGCCAGACACTTATTCTGTAGCCCTTTTGGTCTCCTTTTCCGATCGAGACCAAAACACCACTCAACGAAATTACCTTTGAGTTACCGCCATCTTGTGTTTCACTGGCCTAAATACCCTCAGGGACAAAAGGTCACTTCAGGACTGATTGAAGATGACGTTTGATCTGTCTTATTGAGATAATCCGGAAATTAAAGTTAACTAGGTTTTCTCATTCATACAATGTAAAGAGTTAAATATTTCTGTTATCACATAGTGATATTTTGTATTTTACTTTTTATTTCATAGGAAGAATTGTAAAGCGAGTGACGGTCGGTTCACAGCTGGAGTGTCTTCTATTCCCAATGGATCAATCAACAGTGGCTGGTTTTATATCATAGAACCTACTAAGTGTGTGAAGTTACATACGCTTACTCTGTTGACAACTTTCTAAAGGAACTGATCCCTAGAGTTTAGCCCCGCCCCTTTTTTTTCATGTTTCCTTGTCAGCTTGTAGAATGTAGCACGGACGTTTGTACCCCGCTTGAAAGGAAAAAATCAAAACGTCAAAGTGGGGCCATTAGGTGACTCTGTTAGGTTATTTTTGAGACTGTATTATACTGTCAACCGTAAATAATGTCCATTGGTAAACTTTTGAGTACATTTTGTAAAAACTCTAACAAGTAAGTTATTCGATTACTGTATGTCGAATAAAACAAGTTAGAAAACTTGATATTGCCTTGACATTGGCAATGTTTGTCGGTCTTCTTTCTTTTGGATACTTAGGCATGCAACCGTCTCCTTGTACTGTCACGTAACTATGGCATCTTGTATACTAAACAGCCAGTGAATACGCATTCCACTGTACGTAACTGACAATTTTTTGAACCTTATTAGCTTGTTTCAAAGCAAAATCTTCACGCGAAATTCCCCAACTTCATTAACCTTAGGGCATTCTGATTCAAAGGTTTTCAGAGTCATCGAAAACTACAGCTTTGTTGTCAACGTTAACTACCTTGTCATCATCTTGTCCAAATATTCGAGCCAAAATTTTAACGTTGTCTAGCATTGAAAGGTCACCTTTCAGAAGTGTAGCAGCTCTTGTAAGCTTGTAATTCTTTTGTAAGCTTGTAATTCTTTTGTTTGTTAGCAGCTGTTATTGTTTTAGGGCTAGGGGCATTGTTTCTGTTGTTTGTTCTATTGCCCTCTCAAAGGGTATCAAGCCATTCATGTGAGACGCTACGAGAGCTGCTACCCGACCTTCACCTTTCAGACAGACCTTTCCTTAGCGGAAGAACTATTCAAAGATTTGTT